TTCAAACAAACCTTCCAATAAATCAACAAAATAAGGACAACGGGATAACGGCATACAACTTGCCTTCAGAGCTAAATCATTTTCAAAGAAAAGGCCTCGTTATGACAACTCCATGCAGTTTTCACGGAAAAAGTCAACATAACTTCGATAATGAACACTCAAATCCAAACAGATAATTCAGAATTTCTGCTATCAAATGCCAAACAACTGTCTACTCCAAAACAACGTACACCAGCGTTAGCGCTGACGGAAAAATGTTTAGAACGATCGAACTATGACAAAGTGAAAGAACAGTACAATCGTCATAAGAGCTTGGAGATTTTTGCTACTCAGGAGAATCCAATATAGATGATTCTTGTTTTGAACACGAAGTTTGGAAGCCAACATACGTTACAAGCAAACGCAAGAAGCGATTTACATGTACTCACAGAAGACCATCAACTATGGAAATGATATGCGAATCGAACGCGAAGCTGATGGATTTCCTGCGATCTTCAACAGAGTCGTTGTTTGCTGAAGAAGGTCTACGACACTATGGCTTGAATCAGACCGAGGACCAAGCAAGAAGCAATTCGTCATCAACAGCGATCCGGCCATCTGGCCAGCTCCATCGCCAAATTAAGCTTTAAGTACACCTGTAGATGTATCTGCAGGTTTACCTTAGAAAGGAGGTCTTGTGGGACTTCTATATTTTTCCGATAAGGAAGCGATGCCTGAATTGGCATGGAAGTTGAGATGTATAAAAGGACGCGTTTTTATGCGCTGATTCTAAGTCTTCTCTTCTCCTCGTTCGCTGCACACAACCTTACGAAAAAAAGTTATGAGTGTCAGAATGTTCGGATTTGTCAAGCCCTGGGGGTCAAAAAATCAACGGAAATCTGTATAAAACCACCAGAAAATTTCAAATTCACTTGTAGTTGATTGTAAGAAGGAACACAGAAAGTAGAAAGGTGTTTTTGTAGATTTTTTTAAAATAATTTCATGCCATATAAAGCTTGAGAATTTGGATTTTCAAACGTTGTTTGAAATCATGCGGTTGTATTCAACGTATCGTGGCTCTAAAGTGACGTTGGGTTAAAGCTCTTGGATTCACCGGGAGTTATCAAAAAGCTTTATTTTCCAAAATCATGAGGAGTGCTGAGGCTTATAAGCGTCTAGAGAGGTGATGGTCGTCGAGTGAGCGCAGTGAATAACGGGGAGTTCTTAAGTATAAGGGAGTGTGCTTTCTTCAACCTGTGTTGCATTTTTCTTATTTATTCTTTCAGTTAGTAGAAAAGTTTATCAAGCTCAAAATTGAAAATAGGCACCTTTCAGCTCGGAAGTAAAGGTACGGAGAGAATTGGTCACACTATCGCATGTCTGCTAGCAGTGCTAATATAACATGAGCTAATTTAGCAACGGAATTGCAAGGTTGCATTATACTACATTGTGTGTTGTTCTTGGAATCAGAACAGGGAGAGCGGTGGACAGTAAATTTGAGGACTAGAGCAGAGACAACTACGCAGAATTTTGCAGAATCCCGCCTCCACACTGGTTAGCGGATGTTTTGTTAAAGCAATTTTAGAATACCGCAATAAAAATAGAGCACATTCATTTGGATAAATGAGATTACATTCGGATGTGGTGATGAAATTTGAAATCATGTGAGCGGGTCTCTGACGTACAAAGCAAGAACGCGCGAACTTGTTGAACGCTTAGCGGTGTGGGATCAGCGCCGAATATTTGTGATTTTATGCATGTTTTGTTGGATATCGAAAGCAGTGCAATAGACCATCCAAAATGCAGTCGGATAGTTTTTTTTTCAGTGTTAGTATTAGCAAGTGACTCCTTCAATAGAAGTTGCCAAATTGAACACGGCTTAGCATCTTCCTCATCTCGTCTAGTTTCCTAGCAATACTTTAGGGAAATGGTTGTGAAAGCAAATGAAAAGTTTGGGGTACATACTTGCACTGTAACAAGCTCTTGAAGAAATACTTTTTCTCACATATCGCCCTTTATAGGAGATCCGACGGTTTTGAAATCTCAAACACTTTCATTCTTTAGCAACTTTACATTTTCATTTTCAATTGTAGAGGCGTATAAAAACAAGCTAAAGATGCGAGTCATACAGTGGACATGAATGAATGAATAAAAAGGATCAATAGCTCAACTTTTCAATCAGAATTTTTCCTGCAAGAACTATAGGGGAATGGCTTGTCCCGACAATGCAAGATAAACCGCTAAAGACGTAAGCATAAAACCAAAATTCTCTGGAAACGCTCTCTATGCCCTTTCAGTTGCGAGTAAGACGACCTTTTATATGAGGTTGGCACATGAGTTTTGCATCTTATTGTAACTTTTCTCTTTTTGACATTCGTCTTTCAATATGATGTACAATAGATAGTAGGCTACAAACCTGCACAAACAGTTTCAATATTTGATAGCAAAATGGAGAAAATTTACTCATTCTTCGAAAGATGGTCAAATCCGAAATTTCAAGGATCGGAAAACCAAAAATAAAGCCGTTCTCAGTCTGATCAAACACATAAAGCCGATTGTACTCAGATTAAGCTAAATGCTCTTTCGTCTTTGAATGTGGGCATGATAAGATGTCAGTAGAATAATGTGTTAGTAGTTTGTGCCCTCAGCTTGGTGGAGACATTATTGACCTTACGTTCCGACAATGTCGTCGTCATCAGTGGTCTGAAAACCGGTTGTAGGCTCTTTGACTTGCAAGTCTTGCAACATAAGTTCAATAAAGTCTCCACCACAGAATCTGGAGGCACAAACTACTAACACATTACTGTACTCAGATTCTTGATGAGGGAAACTCTAATCATCTACACAGTTTCGGCTTGATTTGTTTGATTCAGACTGAGAACGGCTTTATTTTGGGTTTTCCGACCCTTAAAATTTCGGATTTGACCAGCTTCCAGAAGATGAACAAATTTTCTCTGATTCGAAACCAGAAATCAAACGGTTTGTGCATATTTGTATCCTACTTTTAATGTACGCCACATTCAAAAATGAATGCATCACAGTCAAAAAGAGAAAAGTCATGAAATAACTTGCAAAACCTATGCGCCAACCTATTAAATTCTTTAAAAGCGTAATGTTTATACGGATAGTGCTGGCCTACGTAGCCCAACCGGTATGGTGGGTAGTAGACTTTGTAGAAAGTTGCAAATACGATTGCACGTACAATGTATGCAAGAGCCCGAACTGAACAATCTATAAGCAGCAGAAGCAAGGCTCAAATCAAGACGATGATAAAATCTGGGTCAATAAGAAACGAACACTGATGAACGAAGGAGTGGTACATAGAATGAAAGGCATCAGTATTCAAAGCCGTATTTGGCATGCCGCATCGAAAGAACAAATCGTTAAAGGCCAAGGAGTAAGTCAGTGCTTAGAAGTGAGTAGGGTAGTCTTGATAGAAATATTGCCTATATCCAGTCGGACTTCAGCTGCCAGGTACACCCAGTAGATTTTTCGCTTGATATAGTGTGCTTGCGCTGCCAGGTTCGCAAACTTCATGCTTAGAGCACGTCTACAAAGTACTTTTCTTAAGTAGATTTGATACAAACAATGAGATCCTAAAAACCAGGCTTCAAATCGCACTCCATAATCCTTCAGAATCGCTAGTAAACCATTATTGTAAAAGTGGAGAAGTTTAGAGGCGACTAGCTTAGTAAAAGCATAGTGACTCCTCAAATAACATTTATGATCAAGCAGTATTTGCTCCGCCCCAGACATTCCTTGAAGCATTGCTTTCTTCGTCGAGTTTCGTTGAGCGCTGATTTTGCTTACTCACCTAGGCCACCGTCGTATGACACTGGAGAGTATAGCTCTAGTATAACACATGTTCCTGAAGAGTTGTACTAAACTTGTAATGAGCAGCTGGAAAGAGCATTCTGATTTGTGATTTAATATAAATCGTTATTCCATAGCTTATTCGGCTACCCCGCAAAACACGAGAGGCAATCAAGAGTATTGCCATTGATATAATCCAGACACAACGTTGTTCTATTCGTTTATCTATGCGGAGCAGATAGATTGTAAACCATGAGACTTTGCTTTGCAACGAGAGCTGCTGCCACTTGTTGTGCCACGAAAGTTTGCACCAGAAAACATCGAAAAGCAGAGAATAAGTACAGTCTGCCCCAATCGGGATCAGGCCAAACCGTCGGCTGAATTTGCGCGCTCGCAGCGCTAGGGGATTGCGCTGCATACGCGCGCTGTCGCAGAGAGTGAAGAGATCGAGGAGAGAGCAGACTAGCTAGCCGCAGGTGTGGCGCGAAACTCTCGCGGCGCGGACTCCCGCCATGCCGATTTTGGCCTGGTTAGGATTGGGGCAGACTGTAGAACACTTGCAATTTAGCTCAAAGTAGTAATGCTCGTTAGAGAAAAATCTATGATCTGCTAAGGAGAAATCAAATTCTTGGAAAATTACAAATCGATTACAGATCTATTACAAGGGAAGGATATTTGGTGACCGTGATCATTCGAAATGCGATGTAAATTATAAGATGCACTCGAGCTGATTCCTAATGTGTGCTCGATATCTACAAAACGATTTTCTGAAGAAAACTACAATTTTTTGCAGAAAATTTGCTTTGTTTTGGATAGAAATCACCAAATTTGTTCTGTTGCACTGTTTGATGCTATTGAAGAGAATTTCAGAGGGAGTACTGTTGTTTAATTGCTCAAATCATATTCTGCTTTGAAAAAGGGAAGAAGTTATTGGTGATTTTGACCCTCCGCAGCAGCGCAATTCATTCTTGAAAAAATAATCATAACTTGACGGGGCGAAGCAGTGCTGAAGCATACATGGATCCCTACAAAATTGGTAATCTATCACCTATAGGAGCTATGCTCAACTGAATATTGCCATAAGTTAGAATTGTGAACTTACTGCAATCATAGTATTGACATTATCAATTCTGCATCCTGTACATCGATAGACTTTATAAGTTGTGTTTGTTCTCAAATGCTCGAACGTTTAGCAAAGAGGGCTACCTTCAATGCTGCGCATGCTTCACTGCATATATTATCCATGTTAAACCATTACTACCAGGAATAGCGTAACGCATGACAGGGTGTTTTCCTTTCTTGCTTTGTTCCATGGTAGCTGGGTACCTCTGCGCATGAAGATCATAATCGCGTCTACGGCCCGAGGGATTCCCTGAAGTTGAAGGAGGTAGCTGCGGAATAGCATTTAACTCACCTGTGTTTGGCTGCTGCAACAGATACAACGCTCCGGGAAGATTGGGCATCATCCTGTTTTACTCTTTGTAAATCTCTGCTGTATTTATATAAGCGTTCTAAAGGCTCATATATGCTTCAGGGATTATGTTGTTCAAGGTCAACGCTTAGTTCAGACCTTCACACCTTTGTAACTAGGTCAGCGAATCACTTTATCACTTCATATTATCTTTTTATATTACTCTCTATATCTGTGCCTATGTTTTCATTCTGGTATTGTTTCCATTATTAACCTCTATTCTTCTATCTTCGACTATCTATGTGCTGTTCATATGTGCGAACATTTATCACATCTTGATAAACATTTATTATTGTAGTATATGATCATGATAACAATAAACTGCACAAAGAGTACAGTTGCGTTTAAATCTTACTTCTGGAACTACATTACAACACAAACTGACTATTTCGAAAATGCATATTCCTATTAAATCCCGTTAGTTTGTTCGGAAATGAATAGTATGACAATATCACAGTAAAATTAAGTTATTAGGTAATAAGTAGGTGATTAGAATTATAAAGAAGATTCTCATTTTAGAGCTTTATGCGTCTTTATTTGTGCTCCAGCTCATTACGGATGGGTTTATTTTATACAAGAAACATGACTACCTCCGTAAAGCTACCAGAGCAAAAAATGGACGCTGAATATGAGAGAAATGGGGAGACGGTCAAAAGGCGCGATTTCTCTGGGTGTCACCAAATCAAAACTCAAGTTTAGGGCTACGCAAGTCTTCAAAAAGCACCAGACAAAGTACATTGGTTTACTAGTCATCTAAAGTTACTACCTGCTGAGTTTGGAGGCTTTTGCTGGATATCCGACCAAAATAAATACAAATTTGTTATTAATTGCATTTTCATGAGTTTTTGACCTTCAAAATTTTCATTTTGAATCGCTTTTGAAATAGTAAGACTCTTGACATACACCCAGAGAAATGTAGGGGAAATGCAGGAAAATACAGGAGAAATAAAGAATATAGGAGAATATAGAGGAATATAGGAGAATATTGATTGGAGGGTAGAAGAATGTAGTAGTTGAGAGTGTGTACTAGTCCACATTAGCCGTGGACCAATGCTAAGGCTGTCCTGCGGAAAACTCCCCATCTAGCGGTAGGCGTGGCCTCGGACGCGCACCCTATTGAAACCCCTGCCTCAGCGCGCGCTATCGTTCATAAAGTCCGCCACCCATCATAACTCCATCCATATTATCGTTCAGCAGATATATAAGACAGTTTTCGAATTAGATTTAGAAGGCGCATTTTATCATATACAAATCAATCTGAATGGCTACGGTTACCAAGTATCCTTAACTTCTTAGATTTCTTTACATACATAGACAATACATTGATATAGTGATAGAACTTCCCTATTTCACACAAATAGACCAAGTATCAACATGTGAACTTTGACATGAACTGGTCGCAGTGATTGGTACTCGTAGCATTATTATTCTTTTGCCCAATTGACTGAGTTTCGTACAAGCGCACTCTTCTCGAGCTGCACTTTGGCACTCCCACATTCCTACCGTATAGAACAGCTTGTGATCAGCAGATTTTCAATAACGGACTTGCCACATGATTTGAGACTAGTCAAAGATGTTTGAAAAATATTCGAAGTTAGACGGCTAATCTTAAAACGTCGTTGAATAACTGGCAAGCAAATTAACTGTCATTTTGCTTAAATCAAACGCTGATTCTTCCATTGCTTCAGTGAAGCTGGAAGCTCACATGACGGCAGATCTCTTGTAGCGGGAAAGTTTTAACTAAATAATATGAATTGCTTGATTGAATTAGGTTGTAGTGGAGTTATGCTACGAATTTTGTCAAAACTAATTTGAAAAAAAAAACAATTAGTATCTTCGATTGGCATAAGGTAAAAGACTAAACTAGAACTTTTCATGGTATCACTACTCACACCAGCGCAGACTCTTCATTAACTTGCACATGCTTTAACTATCAGGTTTGTGAGGTTTGACATTATGAAAATACTGATTTTCATGAAATACCAAGAAATTTTCTTTGTGCAAATTTGCCTAGCAGTTTCACGTCATGGTTCTGACATGCATGAATTTTAGTAAGCAGGGCCCGGCACGAGGTGGGCAAATGACAAGCTGAAAATCGTTTTGGAGCCAAAAAGCAAAGGGGATATCGTTTTTGCGAGATCCGGGGCGGAGCCCCGGAAAAAGATTCCAAGTGCAAGCAAAAGAAGGTCGAATCATGCTTACCTTATACATCTAATTCATCGGAAAATGGTTTTCATAAACCTCAACGCACAGCAGACTTCGCGCGCACCACGCCGCGTTGCTGCTAATTGCCGCGTGCGCGACGTCGCATGAGCGATGCCGTTGAGCAGCATGATTACATGATCAGTTCTCAAACTTATGTGAATGGGAGGTGTAATAAGCATTTTTTCCAAAAATTTGCCAAAACTGGTAAATGAAGATGTGAATTCAAATGGCTCGCTTGCAGCGCACAAATAAGCATACGGTATGAAACTTGGTATGTACATAAACACGGGCCTGCAGGGCTTATCTTATAAGTTTTATTACAAAATTATGTGAATGAAGGTTGTGGCAGGCTTATTCCTGAAAATTTCCCACTATCAAGAAAATGGAAAAATGGCTCGTTTGCAGCGCAGAGAAAAAATCGCGCGAGACTTGGTGTGTATACGCGCAGTAGGATTAAGTAACAATGTATGAAAAATTATGAAAAACTTATGTGAATGAAGAGCGTGCTTAACTTTTTTCCAAATTAGGTGGGCAATTGCCCACCTAATGCCCACCTGAGTTGGGCAAAACTTTCAATTCATATAATTTTTTTCAAAATTTTTACATACATCTGTTGTTCACCTAAAGTTTACTATATGGTGAGATTTTGGTTCCAAAACTCCTCCTCTTGTCTTTGTTAAAGCCCAAAATCGCATCAGCAGCTTAGCTTTTCAAGATGGAAAGCGCGCCCCAGTCAATCGATACGCGCGGGAACGGCGTCTCTCAGTCCTATGACTGCGTTCCTTTGACATTTTCTCATTCCTTCATCATTTTCCTTGCTTATTCTTCTTCTTAATTTCTACCTTGATACAGGTGAGGAGTAATTAGAGGAATTTGAGCATTGTAGGCGCTTTTGAGCGCTTTTAGGCGAAGTGTGGCCGGTGCTCTCGTTTCACAAGCACAAAGCGTCATTTTTGGGCTCAAGGGGGTATTCGTAAAAACTATTGGGGTCAAAGGGGTATTCGTTTTGGAAAACCCCGTCTGCCCACCTCGTGCCGGGCCCTGGGTAGTAAGTATAGTTTGTGTTGATTATTTGTAATCGCCCTGGTGCACCCTGCCTGCTGCACTTGAAGCTTTGCTTGAAGGCATTGTCCAGGTCATTTAGGGGGGGGGTTGACGCAGTGCGGGAGCACAGGCTTCTGACTGATGAACAGTTCAATCCGATCAAAAAAGGCAGATTCTGAAGCGAGAAAATCGCTTTAAAAAAGAGGGTACACTAATCCAGCCTCCTTGACAAGTTTCAACGTGGCGAATGCTGTAGACTCTATGAATTAACCACGTCAAAACTTGTCGAGGCAGAATTAGCATTCGCCTCTTTTTCCGGATCGATTTTCTCGCTTCAAAAACCACCTTTTTAGTCGAACTTGAACTGTTGTATCATTCAGGAACCGTGCTCCCGCACTGTGTCAAAATCCCACCACCCCGCAGTTGACCTGGACAATGCCTTCAATGTACTAAAGTTCAAACGCTGGCGAAGATCCGCAAAAGCAGCGCAAAATCCACCTTAATCGGGCTTGAACTACTATTGCAACACTCAGGAGCCGCTCACTCTTGCACTGTGTTAATATCCCACCACCTCCCAGCTGACCTGGAACTTTTCAAACGCTGGTAAAGATCCGCCAAAAGCAGCGCAAATGCGTGACATGGGAAGTAGTGGTACTTATGAGAAGAGCGAAGAGGCACGGACACGATTGAAGTTCCAAATTGTCATTGAGCATGCAATCAATTAAGCACATAGAGGTCCTTAATGTGGAGAAATCGTCGAGAGTTGGAATACTCCGGTATCGTTTTTGACTGCGACTCCGAAACTTTCGATATGGTAAAGTGGAGCTCATGCTTCGGTTCGACTTCTTCTTTGGAAGACTAAGATGCGAAGAATTTCTGGTGCTTTCTGATTTGATTTATGGATCGTTGTACAAATAGCAATTTTCAGGGCAAACATCCGCTATAAGTTAGCAAACGTTTGAAATGGTATCTTTAATCTGGCTCAGTTAACCAATAGGGCCTGGTGATGGCAATTGCGACCACAGTAACGGTACATTCCTGCATTCGATAAGCAAGTCCTACAAGATAATATCTGAGCATTTGCACTACTGATCTATGCGAAGTCTGAAGCCAAAATAGAAACGGATCTAAACGCCTGAAAGTCGAAAGAAACTGGAGCTGCTTTCAAAAATTCCTGCATCTCCTACTCGTTATGCGTATATTCTCCTCATCAAAACTCATATAAAAAGTCTCGGTATCTCTTCCTCGACTGAAAACTGAAAAAAAGAATATTCCTGCTCTCGCCGAAGCAATGCTGAGCTTCGAACAATTAATCGTATAGTACAAGCCCAAAGAAGTAAACCTCGGGGTTTTAGCTTTTTACAAGGGCTGGTCTTTGAAAAAGACCATATTTGGTTCTTCAACCGCTTTCCATTCCAATTGCATTTGTAGCGTTGTCAGCAAACCAAGAAACTATGTTAGCTTCGAATCCAATTTTTGAACGAAAATCAAAAAGATGATAAAATTACAAATAGTAAAAAAATCGATTTGTCAAGAAAAGTCCAAGAATTAGTTTCTTGAGTGCAGCCAAATAGAAAAAGGCATGAACTTGACATAATCCCTGCTGAAGCAAATCACTTTTTCCGAAAAGCTTTCAAGTGCCACCAGTAGTACTTTTGAGTAGTTGCTCACAAGAGCACGTGAAGGTCTCATTGTCAGAGGTTGAAAGTTGTATAGAAATTTAGCCCTGTTGAAAGCATTCCTTTTTCTCATATATTGATTCCATTTTCCCGTCAACAATTTTGATATTTTCTTCAGCAAGTCAATATAAGACGATTTCACGTAACCCGAGTCCAGCATTTTTGGTGGCTTTCCGATAGGAACTTAGTAAACAGGATTGTCTTGGCGTTTATTTTAAGATTTTCTTAAAAGCATCGGAGATCCTTAGTTAGGGGTCTTGAGCATTTGGCAGCTCACAATAGTGAGACCCCCTATCAAGCCGATGCCTAAGTCACGGCGCAAATGTCGCTTCGGAAGCAAGGAAATGGCTTCGAAATAACGAAGAGGTATGAGGACCCCAAATTAGCACCCCCCCCCCCCCCCAGTAATGCTCGCCCATCCCTGCACGCCCATCCAATCACCGTTCCGGAAAGCCGGGGGTTCTCCGAAACAAGACTTGTTGGTGTTTTCTCGAATTTCTGACTTTATATTCGGAATCAGGGACATGAGAAGACCTTGGAACGAACATAACATGAAAACTGAGAATCTGGGTGGACGTGCATTCAAAATCTTTACAAGCATAGAGCATTTCGGAATCACTGTATCATTGTCACTAGGGTACAAACTTTAATTTTCCTTTAAAGCCCAGCTGTAATTATGTAGCATGTTTACATCAAAAAAGACATCTCAAATGATCTGTGTTTCGATCTCGTTTGTGCAGCTGTGAAGTGCATAGTTTGCCTCACTTTTCCGGTACTGCATGAATTGAGGGCACTCTATACCTGTTTATTCTCTACGTATACTTTACAATGACAATTATAGCTTGCAGTTGGTGAGATTGCACCGTGAAAGCAAAAAAAAACATCAAGTTGCCTTTTGATAATGCGAAAAACAGGATGCGCAATGACGATATTGCCGATTGTGACGCATTGTTGATAGCGACTGTGAATATGCATGTTTGCTATCCGACTGCCTGACCTTTGACAAAACTATTTCCTGATACCGTTCAAACTTGCTCTATAGTGAATCTGCTATAAATTTTAGGAAAGGGCAGCAACTACACACTTAGCGAGATTTGTAGCCAGCCGAAGCGTTTAACTGGCAGCCTCTTTGAAACTCATTTCTAGTTTGACCAATCGCTTTGAATCAACGTCGTACTTTAGGATGAAAGCCAACTGCCTTCTTGCATTCATGGCGTTCTTTGGAGAATCTTACTGTCAATTGTCTGAACACCTCAAAGAGCAAACAAGTGGAGTCAAATGTCTAGGTGAGTCGATATCAATCATATGTTGCGAAAAGCCGTCTATATCCGCAACATTCTACAACAATAACAATATTATAAGATTGGTCCTCTCTCCCGAAATCTCCTGCAAATGTTCTCTCATTTTTTCTTGTTTGCCTGGCATATGAGCACATAAATTTATTTTGCAACAAATTTGGTAGTGAACACAAAAATTGGCATTCAAGGGAAGTATAACTTTTTAGACCATTCATGAGATGTAGTTAGAGATACTTGCCTCAGAACGTTGATTTCAAAGTTAAGTTCTGCGCAAAGCCATCTTAAAGAAGTATTGCACTCTTCTTGGTGATAAAGATGTACTGTTGCGGAGATCAGAAGGAGTGCCGCTAAAATTCTTGCTTTTTTCTCTAGCAAAATCGGAAAGTTAATCCATGCATATAGTGAAGTTTGTCTGTAAGTTGGATGTGTATTTTTCATACAATCTTTTACGGGTGAATCGATTGAGCCGAAATTTTGCACACATAGGTTTCCCCTCGTAGATGGTTGGCTATTTCTGAAACAGTTTGCTGAAACCTTTCATCAATTTACCAATTCTTGGCACCTTGCAATGAAAGTGAACACTTATCAGCCGCTAACCTTTCATGGCTTCGTGTATAGCAGTAGAAATCGTTTCAAGTTTGCGTTGCGAAGGAATACGTCAGCTAGAAGTGGATGACGTGAACCTGTTAGCGCTTACTGTGCAGTACGCAATTTTTTATGGAGCGGAGGGCGCGGAGGGTGGAGGGCGTAAGGACAACGGAAGATGAAATGTTGAGGACAAGTTGAAAAGCCAAAAGGAGAATAGAAGCAAATTTATCTCTCCTAAATTCCAGTTCTCCCAGTCTGTGCACCAGATGAGGCCATGGCCCGAAAAAGACCGCGTATGACAGCTAACGTTGAATTTTAAAATAAGTAAAAAGGTAATGAGCATTCTTATGCACAGCCGCAGTGTGACTATCAATGATGCATAACGTACAGCTCCAAAGAGCAAAGCAAACTCTACAAGACACCTCTTCTCTCGAAAATCGTGATCCATGTCGAGCTGGAAGCAAAATCAAAAAGTTCCATGATTTCAAAGTCGGATCTCCGCTAAGGCTTTGCAGCTTCTCACTCGGTCGTTATAGGCATCGGTCGTACCCCACGCGATTCTAGTATCGGATCGACGATTGTTTGTAACTTGTCGTGAAAACATATCACTCGAACCAGAATTGGCAGGCTTGCAGCTTGCATCATCTTACGAAAGCTATTTGTGTGCATTCAAAATCAGTTCGGGATCAATTTATAGAAATCTAGCAGTTCGCCAAGTCGCGTGTCGTCAGTGTTTAGGAGAATCGCTTGAAGTATGGCCGATGTCATATATAGTAGACGCATAGTGAAATACCAAGCGGTTCTTGGAATTTTCTTGAGGCTAGAGTCGAAAAACAGAAATAGCCAAAAAGAGAAGGAAGAATGTCGCTTCTTTCGGTTTTTGTGCTGAAAGTGATAATTTTTTATGGTTAGGGCACATACAGAAATAAAATTTCACGATTCTGCTATCAAAGGCTTGCAAAATACATATTGTGTGAGATTGGCTCGATTAGCAATCCAAATTTCGGGCAATTTTTCTCATGATATCCATTCTGAAAAAGATACAGCGAATGCCTATAATAAATTGTGCGTAGGTCAAAAGTTGACGAATTAGGAGTTTGTAGGACTTATCGGTCTTAGTTGCAATTTTTGAAATTTTCTTTAGATCTTTCTGAAAATTCAAGTAAATGTACCCAAATTTGGCTTGAAACTTATTGCGATTGCATACCAACACTGCAGCCTCGAAATTCTGCGGTGTGTTCTCCATACGAGCCTAACATGAATTTTTGTCGGAAGGTTTTTATCATGCACACTTTGGAGTATTTCTCTGCAGCAATCAACTTTTCTCGTTAGAGAAACTGTATGTATTCTCGTTACCTTCTAGCCATCTTGATAGCAATCCAGTACACGTACTCGTCGCATGTTTTTGGAAAAACGCTTCAATGGCACAGATTAGCCAATGTCCGAATGTTTGCAGTCATTTCGAAAGCAGAAAGTGAAGCATGAAGCAGGCTGCTGGGTATATATATGTTAGATCAAAAAGTTTCAGTTCCCATCCTGACAAATTGGGAAGCGAATTGAATATGGCTTTTGTAGTCATTCGAGAAAGCAACAAACAAACTATCTGCTGAGCTTAATGCACATGATGCAAAGCAACAAGAAAGCGCAAGCAATGATTGGGGCTGGAGTATTAGCCATTGCAGTTTCGTATTAATAACGGTAAAATGCTTAGTATTCCGTTTCTTGATCTCTCGGAACAAGTGCCAGCATTGTGTGGCTGCACAACTGCTGCGCCCTGAGACCACGCCCCCAGACTTCTCTGCGATCGAGCTCGCATCTCACTTAGTGCGTTACTATTTTCGTAAGTACCGTCCACCAAAGCGGCTTTCGATGTTATATTATATGATGATGATCAGCAAGATAGGTAAGCCAGCTAGTGCTAGCCAGCTAGCTATCTATAAGATGGTTGTTATAGTCTCATTTTCGTTTCATGACGCGTGGGCGCCTCAAATTTCGCGAAAACAAGACATGATTTTGCCTCTTTGGTACATATCATGCCTAATTAGATGCTTTCTTTGAAGAAACATTGTCACAAGTAATCTGATTCTCGAGAAATGATCATGCGTGTACAAATTAGTTAGATTTTCATCCAATTCTCTTTGCATGTGCTTGGAACGAAGATTTACATAACCCCTTCTACATGATTCTAACATTCATGAATGCAGTTTCTTATGATCAGACACCGTTTACAAAAGGAAACAATAATGGCAACCTATCAATGCGAGAATTAGATGAAAGAGTCTGACAAAGTGTGCAACAAGTCACGTTTCTTTCCATCTGATGGACTATTAAAGTTAGCAGATTAGTGTAGCATGCACATCTTCTGAGTTGAAACAACAGCCCGCATTTCACATTTAATAGCTGTTACCTCGCAAGATAAAACTTTTGTCTGCTTTCATTATCATGTGTTTCCCAAAAATTTGTATAAGCTTTCCGCGATCTCAGTGGGTGGCCTTCATTTCTGCAAAATCATCTCTGTCTACATGACGCCATTATAATCAACAGAAAGTTGCACTGTTTTACATTTGATACAATGACGAGGCGCAGTGTCTACGATGTGGGACAATGTGACCTACATGATGGGTCGCGGCTTGAATCTCGCTAAAAGCTATTATTTTGGTTTTTCTTCCTCTGAGAAACAAGGAAAACCTGCCGTTTTCTTGTCATTAACAGCTGCTTAGCATTATTCTGAAGCGAGTTATGGTCTCTTTTCTATGCAAAGTTTACGTGCTTATCGACCTGCTGATGCTACGGTGTCGACTCTAGGTGGTTTTGCAATTGTATAATGCTCCCTTTCAAGACCGGAAGAATTAATCTGATGCTAGTTTAACATCCTAGCATTTTTTTTTCGAGCAGATTCTTATCTACACGCCGTCTTACGACTTTCAAAAGTTTGTTAGTTACTCACAAATGCAAGCCCATAAATCGCTACGGAATGACGCTAAGCAGCTAGGAATAGCATGATTGGAATCAGCGTTCAAAGCTGATTCCAAATGTATGTTTCACATCTCAAAAGAAGAATCTTAGTTAGTATCCTTCTCTTGTTAGATTCAAAGCAAGTAGAGTGAAAGTGAAAATTAAGTTTGAGTCCCCCTCTTTGAAGGCATGCAACTTTGGTTTGAACAAGTTTTTCACATACGAAAGTACATGTGAGAAATTAGAAAAAGCTGGCCGTGGATATTACAAAGGGTTTCGAAGAAAAACGGATCTGAAAAGCTAGCTTTTGAAAAAGAGTTGAGAAGAACGAGCATTAATTATGAACCAACCCAATATGAGAATAAGCGTTGTTTTCTGTTGACAATGCTACGCGTTTTTTTTGACAATAACAAATGTGATGTCAAAATGATACTATTTTTGGTAAACCCCGAATCGCATCCAATGGCTTATAGATAATATCGTTGTTGCGATAGCTCATATGACGTCAGAAATTCAGCGCTGCAGGTTTTGATGACCAGCAAATAACTTTTTGATATTCCCAATAGCTACTGTAAAAAGATAAACGACCGAGAGAAATCATAGGTGAGTTGGTAATTGTGGCCTATATGTACAACACTACGCTTTTTCTGCTTTGCAAAGATCATTATAGAACGATTACTGGATTAGCTGAGAAAGCGGTTCCGCAGTTGCATGCGGTGAAAAAGTGTAAATGCTGTTGCCGTTTTAGAAACTCCTACTTCATCGGGTTGAAATTCTAGTTAGGATAATGTCCATTTAGTCTTATGATGTCCTTCATAGCAAGATATTTGCCAGCAAACAGAAGTGCTAAAGGATTTTTTGGTTATAGTCGGAAACTGTCAGACTAATCATTACTGTGTAGTTAAACATTTTCGCATTTATTTATCGTAGTGCAGGTATCCATCGATAGCGGAGAGTCCATATCCTCACCACATAAATTTGAACTACCCTATTTTTGAATGCAAAAGCCGCATTCTGTCTTTTTTGACTGCGCGTGGTATAGGGCGCACTGCCTCACCTGCCTCGCCAAGCACTTGCTCTTATCTCCACAAGGTTTGACGGTAACGTATTTCCTAAAGCAGCCTTTGATGTGCCAGCACTCAAGCAAAAAAAACGCCACTGATACATCTCAATCTGGAACGTCTAAAATTTGCCGGTCGTTTGGCAGAAATATTATCTGCGCTGCATGCAAACTTTTCGCAGTGTTTACATGTTTGAGAAGTGTGCTTTGTAAAAAAATGTTAACATACGTTTTCTAGTTGATTAAAAGAAGACAAAAGCAACTTGGGAAATTCTGAAGAAGTTTTGTGCTATTAATTTAACACCATCAAATTTTAGCAGTCAGTCTCGAAATGAGTGTAGCAGAAATGAAGCAGCAAAGGAAATCAGATTCATGGTTGTTCAAGCAATATGGAGATCGCCCGGACTACGACTTCTTTGGTTTTATCCAATTTTCAAGAAAATACAGTAGCCGTCTGGACAATACAATGATAATGCAGAGAATTTTTGTTCGAAATTCATGCTGTAAAAAAATACTCGGAAAAAAAGAAGGACAGAAATACAACATATATTGGATCACAGGTGATTACGATCACATTTCGTCATGGTACCATAGATTAAAGAAAACATCCACATTCTAGGTAACTTTTCCCACGTAGGTGAAAATCTGCCAGTATTTGAAGCATACTCATGCCAAAGAGAGAACGATTTGATCATAGATGAACCAGGAAACGGGACATGCCCAGAAGATGTGAAGAGATTCGAAAACGAAGTATTGCCCCTAAATTGCGTTGAGGAGACCCTTGATAACACCGTCCGCAATGGCATTCCTTCTTCTGCTGACAGCATTCCCTCTGAAAAAGCATCCAGTGATGAGGATACCAATGCGCTTAATGACAGTGAAAGCTCTGATGGAGCTTCTGATGTTAGCGAACAAGACTCTCAAGTGGACCCTGATGGTGACCCGGAAGACGATTTTTCTCTTGATGGTGCAATTGAATGAACAATAGCTATTCATTTTTTATTGTAATTCATTATTGCCCGTATTTTTTTTTAATAAAATAATTCTAAGACCTTTTTCGACGAAATGACGTATTTTCTGCCTCCTCTTTCTATGTCAGGTTATGAATACCCTGAAGTCGGAAACCAACCGGACAAACACAATATCTCTCGTATTTTTTTGAAAGAAAAAAAGCTCTATGGGCATCACTCGCTGGCCATATCTTGCTTCAAAGTAGACGGACGAATTGTGAATCTAAGGACACCAATCGACTCAGCTCGGATCGGGGCATTTATTTCATCTGATCTATCAGAAGTGGTGTACAGTAGGTATTTGATAGTCAGTTCACACGGATACTCCTGAAGCCTGAAGCTCTGCATGAAGGGCTTACAATATGCTCATTGCTCATTTAATATTTGTTTGCTGCAGTGGTGGTTCACTGTAGAGTTAAGTGTACGATGAAGGTTAATGTATACAGTACCCACATTAATTATTCAACAGAATACGTAAGAACACGTCGCGTTTTTTTTTCGTTTTTCTCCATAACTTCCATCAAATTGCGCGCCGCAAATTCTTTTAGCGGGTCATGGTGAGAGTAATAGTACGATACCACGCATGCTCCTGAATTTGCCTGCACTCTTCGCGTATCTGTTAAATAAATTAGCTGCTCTTTTTTGTGATTTGAAATCATTGGAGACAATGCTATCGGATCATGCTCTGTATTGTTCGCCGAACTCGAGCTTACGAATTCACGTTTTCATGAATAACGTCCAAAACTTGGAAATCACATACTTTGGCAAGTATCGTAACGGATGGACAGAGCACTCTAAATTGCGGATATCATGTTTATATACAGATCGATTCCGAAACAGCATGCTTACTTACTCGCTGTGCCAGCTCTCAACCCCATGGCACACTGTTTGCAAAAAATCAGTCCGTAAATAGTAAATGATATTTCTAATTAACACAGTATTCGAAATCTTCCTCACTTATCCCCTTACCAACTTCTCACAGCCCCGAAGCTCGAAGTTCGCAAAAAAATCTACAAATCGATATCAACCGATGAGAAGGGCAGCTCTGCCCCGAAGTTGCGCGCAAAGATTGGTTCGGATTGACTCAGAGTTACAATTTTCTTTTGGGAACATATGTACAGAGACACAGACACAATGAAAAGCAGATAAATTGCAAGGAGGTTAACCCCCGCCTAATTTTTTTTTTTGCCGTAGTAGCAGTAAATCTCGTAAACGTCTCAAATAGTATAATTTTGGTAAATATTAACAACATATTGTACAAATCGCTTATGATACCGTGTTTTAGGACTATATTTGGAGAGCTTACAAAGAAAGCATGTTTCGTCAAAGTGACGTTTTGAGGGAATTTGTGTGGTATTGTAGAGTATGAAACGCTGATTCCAAATTTGTTTTTTTTTTCTTATCTGCGGAACTCTCGTGGACGAGGAGTCATGGGCGTTTGTTAGAGCAAAAAATTAATTCATTTAGATAAAATATGTTGCTAAGATCTTATTAGCCATCAAATAAAGCGACTTTTGTTCACTTTTTTATATTAAGGTATCTGTTGAATAAAGTATTATGATAAACATCTACTTCATTCAGACGAAGTAATCATGACTACTTCTGTCCTATTTGCACATTGAAATTTTTGTTCCAATAAGCGCTCATGACTTTTCGTCCCAAACATTCCGCAGGTAAGGAAGGAAAAATTACAATTGGCGTTTTTTAATAGACGGGCAACTCTGAACGCAACCTCGGGATCCATTCTAATGACAAAACTCATTATGTTACACATTGATTTATTGAAAAAGACTCATGGTTTTAGGACCAGCTGTTTCTCTCCACATTTAATTCTGATGGAAATGATGAAGTCAACATTCACCAAATTTGCACGGGCATATTCGGTCATCTGTAATGTTTCTCATTGAGGTGTACAAAATAAGCCCTAAAAATCTGAACTGATTCCAGCGCGTCAGCTTCCATTCTGAGAACACGTCAGAAAATCTTAACCTGCCTTTTCCTTACCTGCTCGCAACTACTGCCCCGTACTTTATAGACAACAGTAAATTTTCCATTTTCATCTTCGTAAGACTCCTTGACTTTTTTATTGAAGCGATCAAGATCCTCCCTTGTTTTAACGAGCTGTGTAGGTTGTATTCATGAGGCATTTTGATTTTGGAAGAGATAATTACCCATTTTGCATGTTTTTCATCAAAAGACCAGTAAAATGTTACTGGATGATTGTACTCTACGTTGAGGACCACGGTCATGACAATTTTTTTGGCTGCCATCGTTGGTGATGCTGTAGCATAGCCAAAACCATCCTGTAAAGTTGAAGTTCAGGTCTTAAAAAGATAACGGAGTTATAGAACAAAAAGCCACTGGCTCACCTGTACAAAATCAATAGCAAATAAGATTATGATTAGCGCTAAAAGGTTTGCCATTCTTCTAGGTTGCAAATCATTATATGAAGAATTTATGAATCGTTTATGTAGCTAGCATTATTTGACGTATATATGTAAACATGTAGCTTCTGAATAACCACATCTTCTTATTATTATTATTAACATTATTCTTATTACATGTTTACACGCTTGAACACAAACGTCAAGATACAATCATACCACAAGAATGCGAATGTTAACTATTAAATGTTTGGAGAAGGAGCAATGTCCCTATTCCTCCATTTATCGATCTATACACTCTGTTGCATTATGAAAACATATATCTATAGACGAGTGCTGTATTGCATCCTTGCGAAAAGACGTCCGCAAAAAATTCTTATAATAGAGACGGAGTATCAAAGAGTGCTGTATATTAAAGAGGTCTGCCTTGGTGAGCTGAGCACAGCACTTTCTGGATTCAGAATATTTCTATCCCAAAAGGAGTTATGGAGCTGCGTAGTTTGCGTGATTTGATTCCGCGAGAATCTCGGAATGTCGCAGACTTCCGCGAAATGATCTAAATTCCGTAACTTCAGGAATTTTGCACGTTCTGTAGGCGATATTGTGTTTTTGGAACTCCATTACAATCTAGAGAAACAAAGCATTCAGTTCAGAACTAGTCATGGCTTTTTTGTTTCCGAATAAATCCTCTTAATTTTGGCAATGACCCAGCGCAACAACAAGGCCTAAAAACTTCTATTCTGCTTTTTGGCTGTAAGACACAACGTTCAGAGAATAACTTTTCAAGCTAATGTCGATGGAGCCGTGCTAGAAGTCAACAAAATTTGCGAATGTTTTTGGAGACGACATTTCGACAGTCGACATTTCGTCAATGTTGGAAAAACTAGACATGAATCACTGAGATTTTTTCATTTATACTATGGCTTGCAAGAGTCGCTTGTGCCATCAAACGAGGATTGAACTGCTTTCCGATCCCAAGCAAGTCTTTTTATATTGAGAATTGAATGTTAAGAGTTTCCGCTAAAGAGTAATTCAGTGTCTTCATAGCCAGTAGATTCGCGCAAATCGTAGCATTAGCCTATAACTGCCTTTCAGCTTTAAAATCAGAAACGACGAATACTTTAGAGATTGTTACAGACGTTTTCTTTTCACGTACTGTTATGTTGGACAAAATATCACCAAAACAAAAATGAATATCCGTGACATTGAGAGGGAAAAAATCAGTTTATTTTTTTTGAGAATAGTGGCTAAAATCATTGACGAAAGTTCGTTCAAAAACTCTAGCAAATTAGACTGTTGTAGCTCTAGCAGGATTACTACGTTTGTTCCTCTTAACGCTGTGTGCCTTTATCTAAAAATCATATGAATTATCTGTAAATTTCGTCCATAGCGCAGAGATCAATACCTTTGCTCACAACATGATCAGAATTAAAAATTGTGAATACTTTGCTTGCACAGTTAATTTTATAGATGTGAGGAAGTCGGCTTCTTCGGAGCTGCACTTGCCAAATCGTTAATCTGGAAAGGTCTGAATGGAATCGCTGACAAGTAGTCATAACCACTTAGACAACTGCAAATGACTTCCGGAGAAAACTAAAGTTCTGAAACTTCCCGGGGAGCACTCTTACTAGAGCTGCCAGAAAGGGCGGAGCCCACCCATACGGACCAATAGGAACGTCCGCCCGGAACTTGCGATTGTTTGAGTAACGAAGTCTTGAAAATCATTGAGTGTTTTTGGATGTCGTTGAACTCTAACAAAAAAATCTAGTTTTGACCAAACTCAACGTTATAGCGTCATAGTTGATGCCATTGTGGTAAAGACGATTGCAAATTTGTCATCTATATTTTTGGCGATGTCTACTCTCTCCAAGAGATTGAGATTTTCTGTGGTTGCTGCAGCAATCTGTTGTATTATGTCATAATTAAGGCACGTTTTTGTCACCTCTTTTTTCGGCTCTGGTTTTTATAAGAAAACTAATTCTTCCCGAAACCTTTAATGCTATCTGAAAGAACTTTCCTCTATTTCTTGTTTACGCTATTTTTTTCGTAGTGCTCTATATGATACTAAGTTCCACGCTTCGAATCTGAGAGACTAAAACTTCAAATTCTTTCCTTTTATTTCGCTGGAATTCCGTGAGAACAAACAATGTTGATTTCGAAAATTACGCTTAACAATTGCGAAGCTTTTCTGCTGTAAAATTTTCTCTAAAGCAGAATTTTGCAGGAGTTCTGAGACAGGAAATCCAACCACAACTTGACCAGTCATTGTGGCTCTTCAATGTTGTATAAAATTTTGGAGGAAGAACCAATTGATTTGTTGCGGTTCTGCTGTTTACACAAAGAGTAAACATAGCACACTGAGTGATAGAAAAATGGTAAGATTCTTTGGCTTTTTAGCGGCGAAAATTGAAAGTTCTCAAAAAAGGCAATTTTTCGCTCTTTAGAAAAAGCCAGAAAAAGTGATCACTTCCAATTTTTTTTTGCAGAAGCTCCTCGTAAAAATTCCATAAAATCCAAGTTTTTCGCCACAGCTCTCTGACCATCGGCTACGCAATGAGCAAAGTTTGTGCTTTTCAACTATTTTTGAGAGTGAGTTATGCTTTCTCAAATTAGAGGATTTAAAAAAAATTCATGGCGTTTTTCGAATGGTACAAACTTTATCGTAATAATTTGGGTAAACAAAAATATGTCGAAGCCAAAGATTTGCTCTCTTAATAGTCCTTATTGATGATTTGAGAAAAAAATTACAGCGCTGATGAATTTTAAAAAACGTGCGTTAATAGTGAATCATCCCAAAATAGACCCTTTGATTAAACTGGATTGGCGGTTGGAAGGCGCGGCTTCGTGAGCCCTGATTAAGATTAGAGAATGATAGAGAGTCTTCCGCAAGAGAGTCGCAGACTGCGTTGCGGGCGCGAGCGGTGACCTTCCACTAGCCAATCCCATTGAGTCAAAGGATACTTTGTGTGAGGGACAGCTTCAACACATCTCTTCAGTAACTATCCAGCTATCAATTCTCTGACTGTAAGCAGATTGTTCTTCGTAGGTCATCATTCATATTCTGGCGACTGTCATTGTATCCTCATTGATTTCTTTCTCTATTTTCTCATGACCGTCCTTTTGCTGTTGTGTTGAAGCTGTTTGAGCTGTCGGTGCAGATGTTGCTTGTGCCTGAGATCGACCACCACCGGATTGAGCCAGTGCACAGGTCTGTAAAAAATTATTAGATTTAGAAGACAGTTATACATTAGCTCACCTTCACAGATGCGACAAAGGCTGAAAATAAAATTACAGACATTCCTAAAAGTTCCGCCATTGGTGGTTAAGTGCTGACGCATAAGAAATAAAGAATTTATATAGGCAGTGTCTTACCAAATACTGATAATCAATAGATTTTTGTCAACATATTGCTTTATTGATGCTTCTCCACATTACTCTTTGTTCGAGACAAATTGCGATAGACCAGTTGCCTCATTGAATACAAAGCAAGCGTAGAAATCAAATAGTGATTACCATTCACGCTCATGCTCAGAAAAATGGTTATGTTTACCCTTCTCTTTCTCCTCCTTCCATAGAAATGATGCCAGTAAGATTTTTGAAAAACTCACTCATCGCTGTGAATGCGACAAGCGTACAAAGAATGCGATCAGTGTTGTAACTTGATTTGGTATAGAGTCATAGCTCATCATTTTTGAGAGCAATTATCAAGATTTTATGAGAGAAAAGCCGAGCTTTTGCCTAATTCTCATGTGTGTTACTTCTTCTCCATTTATTCCCTAGGAACATCAATGTATCTCCAGCAGACTAATTCACCACAAAACAATAGAAGTAGATGCAGTAGAGAGAAGGAAGATAAATACAATGGCTATTGGGGTACGGTGACACACCATTAAAATTAAGGGCTCTCGAGGTTAATGGCCCAAGTTATCGGTATCACGTACTTTGTCAAGCTTTCTGTGGCTATGGTAGAAGCCAGGCTTGTGATTTTTTGTAAAAATTATGCTCGGATTTTGCGCTCAGCCTTGAAATTTTCTTAATAGATCAATCTACTTTCTTCGCCGTTGTGCTTACAGTAATGTGAGAGGTGTTTATAAAAAGATTTGATCTTTCCGAGGCCATTTGCGTCTTCCGTAATTTTAGTTACTTGAAGAGGTTTTTACTACTTGGTACTTCTGCGTGACCTCTTACTCAAGGCATTGTATCATAATAATATGGAAGAATACCACTGGAGTAAAGCAGGCTTTACAAGACGTCTCTGGAACCGCAAACGTCGTGATGCACTTGAAGTTTGCAACCAAAAAATTATGTTACATTGAAAATGCGAAAAAATGCTACTAGTACAGCTCCTACTAGTAGGTCAATCATGTAGCGAACACATGGTTGTAAACATGAGGGCTTTGGCCATGTTTTTTTTTCTGAAGCCAGGATACAAGAGAACATTGGACTAAAACCGAGATATCGTCACTTTTTAGGATTTTTCTTTTCTGATAACTCTGTCCATTCTGGATTACTAGGGCACATGAAGAGGTACTTATGTCATAGTTGCCAATCTGAAGGTTTATAGTGTATATAAATGTGAATTTTAGGCTTGCGTATGTCAATTTCCTGCAATCATTCTCTCACAACCTGCGCCATGAACACAACGAGTGTATTTCAATGGTGTTTGTATGCATTTGTTACATGCTGATCGCAGCACGAAATTGGTATATGGTTATTTATGCAGATTATAAAGATTATATAGCTTGCTCTGCTCTAACGTACTCCTTACGTACTTTTTTAATATTCGCCTTAGTGCTTTATCACAAAAAGGACAAATTTTGTCCATGATAAAGCTAGGAAAGCATGCCTACGTTAAAACACATGGACACGAGCGATGTCAAATGCGAAATTTCAACTGAACACATAACCTAATGTACATATTAAGAAGCCACGACTTGCATGGTTCGAATATCAAAGTTTTGGTAATGTAACTAACTACTTCATGAACATGAGAACCACTGTGCTTTACGCTGTGGTTTTGACCTTAACTTTTTTGTTGACTGTTTTTGAGAAAGAAAGCTTTCAAAGCCGTCATTTTGAAATTCTTGATTCTGAGTTTGATTAAAAATTATAAAAAACCGTTAGTTAATCCTAAGTAAATTGTAAAATCTCCTACCAATAGGCCATCGATAAAAAATTTTCAACTTGCACGATAATGTAAGAATTGTGAGAAATTCTTTCAAAAAAATGGTTCACTTGTGACTGCATTTCCTTCGCCGAATCTCTGCATAAAATCAGAAATTTAGATAAGACTTTCCTTCATTTTCCTTTCCTGCATTTTCGTGCAAAAAAATCATTTGTCTATAGAGCATTCCTCATAGCGTTTTTTTGGATACCAGTCCGTGCTTTAAGAACAGAATAACATAAGTAACGGAAGAATTATTCCTAGAGAATCACGTTTTATACAATTTTGTTTTTGTGTATGCTGGATTTGAAGGCTGCCATAGCAATGTACGGAAACCTGCTGTGTAAGAAACGCTCCCAGATTTTTGAAGACAGTTTAACAAATCTTCAATATTTTTGATATCACGCTCAAAATCACGAATTTTTACTTTGAGCCTACAAATGAAAAAGTTGCTGCCAAAACACTTTCTTTCATAGAGTTCAACATTATGAATTTGGCTTGTAGTTTGAAAATTCATTAGGATTTATTTACGCAACAGCTTTTGTGCCAGCCTTATATAAAGTTAAATGACTCAAGGACGACTATGTGCCTTCCGCAGACCACTGCAATAGTTGTCTGCGGAAAGTACATAGTCGTCCTTGAGTCATTTATAACTTGAAATGCGCGTTTGCACACTGTACGCGGCAATCGAGACAAGCTTACAAGTGACTCCTCAAGAAAATTTTTTCCGGCTTAACAAACTGTAGAAATGTGTACTATCACGTAACGTATTCAATCGAAAGAGAGAAGAAAGCAAGAAAAAATCGATGGAAATGAGCAAGCGGTATTGCAAGGCGTCAAGTAGCGCGCAAATGAATACGTAGGATAAGTCATAATTAACTCGACAATAATTTGACCCGCCTCCAGTTTAGAATTAGGTCTTTTTGCTGCTTTAAGGATAAAGGATAAAGGATTCGGCGTCTTCAATACCCTCTGAGGGCATGCGCCGAACGCACACACTAACTTCGTAGTCGAAGAGGCAATTGTATGCGTGCGAGCCTATTACAGTGACTTGCGGGGGCCAGCCGTTTCCAAGTCAGTGCTTTTATCCTCCCAGATTACTCTGGTACCAATTTACTGGCCCCGGAGGGTAGAGGGCTTGGTTGGCCCAGGGGCGGGGATCGAACCTGTGTCCGATCTGGTCATAGCGGCGTCTCATACCACTACGCCACTCGTCCCCCTTTTGCTGCTTTAGCGTCATTCAAACACTTCATGTCATGATTTCATTGAATAGAGGAATCAAAAAATTGTAATTCTTTCCACTTTTATCTTCGCAATCAGTGAAGAAGTAAGATTTTATCATGTTGTCGATCCCGTTGGTGCCGCTGTTGTTGACCCGGCTGTTGGAGCTCGTGTTGGCGGAGCTGGTTGGGGTGCACCACCACCACCACCACCCTGTGGACTTGGCGCACATGCCTTCAAAAAGTTAACAAACGTATAAGAAAAGAAATAGTTAGCTTACCTCTGATGAGACGAGAAGAGCCAGAAATACGAACAGTACAAGAAGTTTTGCCATTGCCGGTCGATGTGGTGAGGCATGAACTAGGGCTTATTATATAGGTAGAAATATTTACTGAAAACATCGCGCGAATTTCCCTCCCGTTTCATTTTTCAATTTTTTCAAGGGGACCATTAACTGAGCGATATTCATGAATCAAATGTCATGACAGAAATGATGATTATTTGATGATGCTCAGAAAAGAGGCTTTGTTTACCTTCTTTTCTTCCATGCAAGGTAAGCTAATGGAATTCTCTGCAAGTATGCTTTTTGTTGTGGCTAAAACGAGCAACAGCATAGCTTACAGAATACGTAGCGAGTCGTGCAGGTAAATTCTTGATCTATCCAATCTTAAAATTTTAATTTTGGCACTTGAAGTATGATTCGTGAAGTTTGTCGAAATCTGACAAGGCTTTCACATTTTCATCAATGGCTTTAATGCTCTGAGTGAATTTAGCCATACTCTTGAAATTTACGACGACGATACATATTTACATTTGCTTCAAGATGGTTTTACCAGACCAATATCTCTCGAGAAACATGATTGTTAAATCCTATCGCTATAGTGGGTAATTCCCTCTTTTTTGAGTTTGTAATGAAAATCGACCAGCATCGGTTACAGGAAAATCAAGCAGACATGTGATCAAAAGAAAAGATCAGAGGTAAGGTGTCTGTGATTTTGATAAAATCTTCAGGAATCCTGAGAACAAGCGGAACAGATTATTTCTTGCATCATATCGGATATTATTACTATCATTATTATTGCTAGTCAATACCCGAAAGAATCAAATGTCGTTATTGACCTGAAAGGAAGATTTTCAAACGAAGAACCAAAACTCATCGTTTATACAGAGAATCTCAAAAGAGTGTGCCTACTGTCTGATTGTCAATAACTCTCATGTCATAAAGTCTTTGGAAAAGCTTTGTGTACATTTGTAGAGCTTGCTTCAAGTTAGATTTGCACTTTTCAGTATTTAGGATTAGCAAGAACTTTGGAGAGGATTTTGAGCTATTAGCTCAGACAGTCGCGAATGACCTCCGTGGAAGACTGAACTTCAAAAACTTCCGGGGTGACGCTCCTATTGGGCCGTGTGTGGGTAGGCCTTGCCCTCCTGCCCCCACCCCTTTGCCCCAGTGTGGGTACACTGCAAGCTAAAACTATATCACTAGGTCAAACTAGGTCAAACTCAAGCGATGACCAGATATATAAAGTTCGCGCTTCCGTAAGACCAGTTTCATAAGTTACGCGAAGAAAGCCTAAACAACGTTTTTTTCATTTCCAAAAATGTGACGGGGTCATTTGATTCTACAAAAATACAAAGTTGTTTAATGAAAGCAACGTGCCTAAAAACCTGCTACACAAGTTCCAGACTGTTTGAATACTTTTTAGGCTTGTTTCAACATGGATCTATATGCTGAAAGCTTTAACCGTAATCATACAGTAATGAAGAGCGATGGGGATTTCCTCCATACTGTAAATCTAAGTGAAGCCTGCCTTACTGAAGGGTGTTTTACTATTCCAGAGGACAGTGCGGGAAAGGAGCTAATAGCGATTAGAAAGTGTGCACTTACTTTTGGGACACCCTGTATAAGTAATGATGTCCGAAACACTTTCTCATA